TGTAGAAAAAGACGAATGTATTGAATTATTTCAACAAATTGGCCTAAGTGAACAAAAAGCAAAAGAAACATTAAAAAATGCACAAGTTTCAAAAAATCTTAAGCTTGCTATTACAGAGGTTAGTATATTAAAAATTAAAATATATTCTTAAACATAATTTTTAACATAAAATTGATATCAAACTTTTATTGTATAAATGAATATTTCTTCTACTTTCGTATATATAGAATATTATTTTAATATCTTTAAAAAATTTACAATTATCATATCAGAAACTTGTATATATATTTCGTTATCTTACAGGCAAGAAAATATGTTGATATTACACCAGAGATAGGCATACTCCTGTATCATCTTTCTTCAAAAATAAAAGCTCAGATTGTAAACAAAATATCATTCTTATCCAAATTTATAGCTGAAAAGAAATTAGATACAGTTCAAAGATTAGATGCAGCATTAAATTACATTCTTAGTAATTTGCACGAAGAAATCAATATTTCAACTTTTGAAGAAGCTTGTGGAATAGGAATTGTGATTTTACCAGAACAAATTGAAGAGGAGGTTGAAAAACTTATAAACATCCATAAAAAAGAAATTCTGGAAAAAAGGTTATTAAATCACTTGAGTAACATAATTATTATATACATAATAATTATTGTAACATATAATAACAATATAGTAATTTTTTATTATTAATCTATTTAATTATATAGATACCGATTTAATCCTGGTCCATTAATGCAACAAGTACGTAATATATTAAAATGGGCAGATGGAAAAGCAATAAAAAATGAATTTGACATTCAAATTTTAAATTTATTAGGACCAAAGCTCAATAGTGATTTTGAATCAGTGCCAAAGCAAACACAGCAAAATAAAGTAAAGAAAGCAGGAAAAGAAGGTATCTTAAGAATTACTATTACTTAAAATTTTATTAAAACAAATGATAAGAAAATGATAATATTTTCTATTTCTTCAGAACAACAAAAAGATATTTCATTGACGAATGAAAGTACATCAGCATTAACGATAACAGAACTTATGAAAACAAAAGTCCATTTTCATAAACCTGGAGAAAATTATAAAACTGAGGGATATATTGTAACATCGAATACACATAAGTTATTGCAAGAGCATTTAAGAATAACTGATGGTAAAGTAAGAACAAGATTTCCACCAGAACCAAATGGAATTCTACATATTGGTCATGCAAAAGCCATTAATATTAATTTTGGGTATATATATATTTATATATTTATTTTTTATATATTTTGTATGTATTTTGCATATAAAGATTATGATAAAATAAAAGATTTTTATTAGGTATGCTGCTGTGCATGATGGATTATGTTATTTACGTTATGATGATACAAATCCTGAGAAAGAGGAAGAAAAATTTTTTACTGGAATTCGTGAAATGGTAGAATGGCTTGGTTATAAGCCAGCAAAAATTACACATTCTTCTGATTATTTTATGCAATTATATAATTGGGCTATAAAGCTTATAGAGAAAGGATTTGCATATGTTTGTCATCAATCAAATAAAGACATAAGAGGTTTTAATCCACCACCAAGTCCATGGCGCGATCGTCCAATCGAAGAAAATCTGCAACTATTTGAAGTAAGAAAAATAGTTAATTATTTTTTAAATATTTACTATAATCTTTTCTTGTGATAAATTTTTAATAGGATATGAAAGATGGATTATTTGAAGAAGGTGAAGCAACATTACGTATGAAAGTTACTTTGGAAGAAGGCAAGCAAGATCCAGTAGCATATAGAATTAAATATTTACCACATCATAGAACTGGAGATCAGTGGTGTATTTATCCTACTTATGATTTTACACATTGTTTATGTGATAGTATAGAAAATATAACACATTCCCTTTGTACAAAAGAGTTTCAATCACGTAGATCATCTTACTATTGGCTTTGTAATGCATTAGACATATATTGTCCTGTTCAATGGGAATATGGTAGATTAAATGTGAACTATACTGTTGTTTCTAAAAGAAAAATTAGTAAACTAATTGACGAAGGAATTGTTTGTGATTGGGATGATCCAAGGTATATAAAAATAATCAAATATAAATAACTTTATATTGTATTACTAAAATTATAATGATAAACTTCTTTCTAGATTATTTACATTAACAGCGTTACGTAGACGTGGATTTCCAGCTGAAGCCATAAATAATTTTTGTGCCCAAATGGGTATAACTGGAGCACAAGCAGTTATTGATCCAGCAATTTTGGAAGCTGCAGTTAGAGATATTTTGAATATTACTGCTGTAAGACATATGGTTGTATTAGATCCTATTAAAGTGACTATTAACAATTTTCCTCATAGTCAGGTACTAAAAGTTTTAGTACCAAATTTTCCTAATGCACCTGAAAGAGGGTATCATGAAATAACTTTTGATAAAGTTTTATACATCGAAGCATCTGATTTTAGAGAGGTTTGTAATCAAAATGTTTATATTCCTATATTCATAATAATAATATACATATATAGATAAATACATATTAATTTAATATATTATTAATTATAGGTAGATGAAAAAAGTTTTCGACGTTTAACGCCAAAACAATCAGTTGGTCTAAAATATGTAGGGGTGGTTCTTACTATAGAATCTGTAGAAAAAAATGACAGTGGAAATATTACAAATATTATAGTTAAACAAGAGCCTGTTTCAGAGACAAATAAGCCTAAGGCATTTATACATTGGGTATCACAACCTACACTAACATCTATCAGATTATATGAACGCCTGTATGTATATGTAATAATTATTATATAACTTTATCTGACATTATTATTTTTCATAATATTTTTGTCTTATAATTATATATTTAGATTTAAACATAAAAATCCAGAAGATCCAAATGAAGTACCAAATGGTTTTTTGAGTGACATTAATCCAAACAGTAAAAAAGAGATCGTAGGTTATTTAGATGCTAATTTAGCAAATGCAGTAAAACCTTTCGATAAATTTCAATTTGAACGTGTAGGATTCTTTTCTGTTGATCCCGACACGAAAGATGGCAAGGTAATTTTCAAATTGATCTAAATATTTAAAAACAATCTTTCTATTTATATAGCCAAATAATAATTTATCTATTTAATCATATTTCTAGCTCGTTTTTAATAGAACGGTTACATTAAAAGAAGATTCTGGTAAAATTTAAATAAAATATTTGTGTAATATCAATATTGCGCTTGTTTGTACCATTATAAAATTTTAAATAAAAGTAATAATAAAAAATAGTTGAATTAATTGTTGACTAAATAAAAACTGTTTCTAATTATACATATTTTACCTGCTATGTATTATCTTTTTATCAATGATGCTTTTAATAAAACAAACAAAATTAATTTATGTATTAGTTCATAATACATGATTCATAAGTAGGAACCATGTATTTAATGTTTATAAATGCATCTTCACCACCATACATTTCTAACACTTCAAGTGTTTCTTGTATTATGTCTGCAGTATTTTCGCCTCTTTGATGAGAATAATCAATTCCTTCACCAAGATTGACTACAAAAAATATTTGGATTTTTTAAATGTACAAGTATAAAGTATAATATAAATTATAATATTTTATTACCATTTCTATCTTTAAGTAAATTTAAAATTGGAAGAATTTGTCTAAAATATGGAACTAAAGCTTCACCAACACCATCCGCAGAACGTACCAAATGCTGAAGTGCTCTCATTGTAGCGCACATTACTTTTGGTATCTTTGTATTCAAAGCATCTATTATAAAAATATTTAACTGAATGTAATTGGAGTTCATAGTCTATGATATAAATTTAATTGATATATGCATTATGTGAAGAGACAATATTTTACTTTTGATAGGAATGATCAATTGTGGAAGAACAGGTAGTATTTTTGGTCCTCCATGATCTAGCATATCGGAAATACCTTGTTCTACTATAAATTTATAAGGTTGCTCTTCTTCTGTTAAACCATCAAAGAACAAAGGTAAATAATAATGAAAATCTAGATTTAATATATCTACTTTCCAATTGATTTTCCACCCAGAACCTTCCTTTTCTAATGAAATAGGAAATATGCCTCGTTCATAAAATTTTCGAAATGCAGATGGTTTTGGGCGGCATAATTTATATAATTCACATCGTGGTGGGTCAGCAACTACTGTGTTATCCTAAAAAATGCATATACACATTTAAATTGTATGATTTGATAAGAGTTTATTATAAAGAATGATAATATTCAATGCTTTACCTGCATTGCTTGTATGGTAAAGGCAGGAACTACTCTAAATTTTCTTTTTTTGTATTTTGGTATATTTTTATAAATTTTAGTCCAAAATTCCTTTTCATTTACCATTTTAATAGAGATTTATTTGATTCAATTACATTGAATATATTTTTCAAAATATACTTTCAAAATATTAAATATGCTTGATAGTTGGAAAAAAGATATTTTTTTGAGTATATACCCAAAATTTATTTAATATGTGTGAATATAATTGGAACACAGTGTCACAACTGTTGTCAAATTAATGATGATGAAACAAGTTACTTAGCAACAGTAACCACTAATATTATTGAATAAACAGTCTCTCTACCTCATCATTATCAGTGATGTAAATAATAATAAAGGATGATAGGGACTTATTTTAATAGCTAACAACATTGTCTGTTGTAGAATTTTGATGAGTAAATATTGTAATGTAACAGTAAATAGCGGCAAAAACAAAATAATAAAGTAATGAAACGTTAAACTGTTGCAATGGTAAAATGGTGACACAATAAAAGATTAAAGAAGTGAATTACAGTATAATACAACACTACAATTATATGCAACATTAATTAATTGTAGTTTTCACGCGATAACCCCCTGAAAACTTAAAAACAATGTACTTTAATTGAATTACACGAATATAATATAATAGTATAATGTATTATCAAATATACAAGAACGTAAAATTTATTGGAAACAGTTTATAAATTACAATGATATATATTATGAAATATATTATTAGTCCATATAAAGTAATAACAATATTATATGACAATTTTTTACAATATAGCTTGCGACCCACGCCATGACGTGATAGTATGATGGCCTGTCGAATAATTATCTCCACCCTGAAAAAAATTATTATAATCAAATCATTCTACTTATGTAATATAGTTGCATAATTAATGGCTATAACATACCTGTGTGAGCATTAATAATTCATCTTGTGTATCAACAATTTTAACTGGGAATGGTGAACCAGGCACAAGTACACCAGCCCAGCGTACTTCTACTCTATAATCACCAGGCTCTGTTGGATCATAACGACAAAGGATTATCCTGTCTTTTTGAGTTTCCCTTTGCATTTCAACTCTAAATGCACCTTTAGGTCCTCTTACTCTCACTGTTAATTGACCAGCGCCAGCTCCTCGAGTATCACAGATAAACCGAGATTGAAATGTTGCTAATACACCATGTTCGATTCCTGGCCCATATACTCGAACCTACGAAATAAAAATATATTTATTTCTTTGGTAATGCAAATTAAATTCGTTATAAAGTATATTTCGTAAATAATTATAAATAATATACTTTTGATGCGTCAGGAGCTCCAGAAACACGTAGCGTGAAAGGCGAACCTGGTACGTGTTCTCCTGCATATTTAATTGTTAAAGCATGTCGGCCTGCTTCTTGAGGTTTCACGTTAAGAGTAAACGTTGCATCACCATGATCATAAAGTTCACAATAAGCTACTTTATGTTGACCAACACAATGTGCTGTCAGCTCACCTTAAAATAATGTTAAACTATTAAATATATTATATGATAATAGATCAGAAATGTTATAAGAATTTTTTTACCAGGTCCTGCTCTTCTTGTATCAATAAAACTTCTTATCTCTTGTCCAACAATGCCATGTTTTAAACCATCTCCCGAACAGATAACTCTTGATGCATCTGCTGCGCTCGTTACATTAATTTGTAAAGGACATCCTTTTAATTGTCTGCCATTCCATGAGACAGTCATTAGAAGTGGATCTGGTGTTTGTGGTATATAACTTGCACGGTATACACTGTCACCTGTATATTTTTTAAAGTGTATGATGTACAATATAATAGTTATATTTGTGTTTTCAGTTCATTTATCTCACCCAAATGTTGCAGCATTACATTAAGTTCACTAGTAGGAGAGAAAAGTTGTACTTTTGGAGTACCATTACCAGCTTGAGAACCATCTATTATAAAACTAACTTCTTCACCGCATTTTGCTGAAGTTAACCCCCGACCTCGCAATAATACTCTACTAGTGTCTTGTACTGGCGGCTATAACAAAGATAATATTGATATATTTCTCCACATTACTCTTTAATCTTATAATATCTAATTTAAAAACCTCAAGATCTTGAACATATGCAAGTTTTGGTGCTCCAGGAAAAGGTACACCATTAAAAAATATTTCTAAACGATGTTCTCCACTAGATAAATGAGGTGGTACTAGTTTCAGTCTGTTACTAGAAGTCATTTCAAATGTCAATGGATGATCTCCGATATTTCCAGTGAGTTCACCAGGCCCTGCTTCTGCAGTGTCAAAACTGATTTTATTAGACGGGTGTAATTTTAAACGACCAATATCATCACAAACAGCAGTCCATCCACCTATACGCAAAGATTATTATAAAATTATATATACATATATATAATAAACGATGATATAATAATAAACATATATATATATATATGATTATTATTATATGATTTTATAAAATAATTTACCAATAACACGAAGATTACGAGTGTCTATAATCTTTGGATGCCAAGGGGATCCAGGTAATTGTTGACCAGCAGAAACAACCCTAATGTCAAATACACCTACTTCAATAGGAATGTAAGATACATTCCAAGTTCCTGGATTAACACCTGCTTCTACAGTTGCTTTAGAAACACTATCTGGACCATCCACCTATTATTTATGAGACATACATTAATAATATTTATTATTATAAATTTAAATATATATATATAAATCATGTGTCAATTTCTTCATATATACCTGCACTGCTGGAGGACTTCTTGTGCCAGTAACAATAAAATGAGCTGATTTACCTACATGGCCACTTAGCAAACCTTCACCTTTAGCACGAGCTTGTCCAGCAGCATCTACTGTACAAGCTACTGGACTGCCAGGAATAGAACATCCACCTGTTCATAAATGCCAATGAGTATTCGTACTAATCATGTTGAAATTAAATTAATATATTTCAAAAGTAAATTTTAATCTCTTACCATAAGTAATATTAATCATATAAGTTCCAGGAACACTAGGTGATAATTCTATCATTTCTGCTCCATCGTTAAGAGGAGTAACTTGTAGAGGAAGTTCTTGTCCTAAAGGACTTGTTGCGGTTACGTCTAAATCTGCCATTCCAGCCTCCGTTTTCATCACTATAATTATATATTTTAACATATTATTGAAGAACAACAAATAAGGATATTGTAGAATATTAGGTAACTCAACTTACATTTAAGTGCAATGTGATCATGAACAGTTACAGTCATTGGCCCTAATTCTTGTAATTTTACTTTTGAAGCATCAAATGCTTGACAGAAAAAAGGAGAACCTAAAACTGGTTTTGCACCATGCAAGACATCAATTTTATATGTACCTGGAGAAAATACATCAAAATACATATATTATCGCAGTATATATATGTATATATATCTTTCATCATTAAACATTCATTACACTTACCTACAGAATTAGTAGTAAATTCAGCAAGTAAATTTCCATCCCTATGCTGATAACATCTCACAGGTACTGCATTACCTTGTGGACCACTGATCACAACATCAAATTCTTTCCCAGGACGTCCTAATGTCTCAATAGTAAATGATGTTACTTTACCAACACATGATTGATACAATCCTAAACCAGTTGCAGTTACTTCTCGTCCACCTGTAGGACTACGTACTGTTACATCTAATGGGCTTCCTATAACATTAGAATGTAATATACAATTAATTTATTCAAATGTTAAATGTATCATATAAATATATACCTGAAATATGAACATCATTATATTTGATATGCACTTTGTGAGGAGCTGCACGTGTTGGATGGAAAACAATTTCATAAACACCATTATCTCCTTCGCGAATTAAACTATCAACATCTGCTCCACCAGCTCGAACATTTACAGTTAATTTCCCAGGTCCAGATTCTTTTGATGCAACAACTAAATAAGATTCAATATTATATATCTGATACACACTCCCAACATATATATATATGTTATATATATATATATATATATATATATATATATATATATATATATATATATATATGTATATGTTATTAGAAAATAATAATACCTAGGATTGTTCCAGGACGATGACAAACTACATCAGCAACTTCTTTAACAGATACTTTACTTGGATCAAAAGCTTGAAGAGTTTGAGAACTAATAACTTTATGACCATCACTAAACATTACACTATATGTACCAACTTGACGAGTTCGAATTTCTACTCTATATAAAGTAGAAGATAATTTAGTCAATGTACTTGGTATAATTATTCCATCTGGACCTACACAAAATATAACGCGTGTAATAATTTTTAAATTATAACAAATAATTCAATTATTTTCCTGAAATTTCAACTTACCTGTTACTTCTGCAGATACTGGTCCTTGTAGACCTAACATATCCAAATCCATATATGCTGTATTTCCAACTCGTATCATAGAAGGTCCATCTAACATATTTGTAGTAACAGGACATTTAAATGGACTACCTGGAAAAAATAAATGATATTAAATAATTTTATACTCAATGAAATACAATGAAAATATTGAAATAATGTTAGTATTTAATATCATCCACAAACCTGGGACATTATCATCATTAAAACTAATGTTAACATAATGAGTGCTTGTGGTTTGAGGGACAAATGTTACGTCATAAAGGCCACGCGCACAAGCAACTACCTCAGCTTTAACTGTATTATTTTCAGTGCTTACTACCAATTCTAATGTTCCCTCTCCAGCTTCTGCTGCATCTACAGTAAAAGTTGTGGCTTGACCTAATAAGGCTTCTGTAAGACCAGATACATGGACCTGTTCGTATTTATAATAAAAGATTTTATATTGTAAATATTGTATATTTATAATATATTATATCATTTAAAATTTACCTTAGTCACATCATAAATATTGCAAGCGAACGGCGACCCTTTAATTGGTTCTCCATCTACTAATATGCTAACATTATGTCTGCCGACTTCTGTAGGTACAAAACTTACATTATATTTTCCATCAATAGGTTCTATTGTAATAGGAAGAGCTATATTTGAAGGTGGCGTGACAATCACGTCACAATTTGTTGAAGGTGCTTGTGGATCCACAGTAAAAGAAATCAATCGCTTAACAGCACCCATTTTTAGATTATTGCCTGTTATTACTGCTTGACCTGCACCAACTACTTTACAGCTAAATGGTGAACCTAGCAATGATATATAAAGATATGTCTTAAATCTTACAATATATATTATATTATAAAAAAGCTAAGATATTACTTCTTACCTGGTACAGGTTCCCCATTAAAACGTACACTAAGACTATGTACTGCAGCTTCTTGTGGTTTAAAATTAACTCTAAATTTTGCATTACCTTCACTTTGTACATAATTTGGTACATTTTTACCATTGACTGCGACTATGATTTCAAGATTACCAGCACCTGCTTGACTGGCATTAACTATAACAGTATAAAAATTGATATATTAAAATATTATTTACTTATGATTTATTATCATTGTTTAAAAATATATAACTTACTACTGAAAAAGACAGGTTTGCCCACAACACCACTATTTATGTCTGTTACTTTTACCTTGTCAGCATTATAAGCTTTTACAAGAAAAGGACTACCTTCAACGTGAGATCCACCCAGTTTCACTTCAACACTATGATCACCTATATTATATTTTATTTCATTATTATATTTGTATAACAAAGTTGATATAAAAATCAGTATCTTTTTCTATGTAAATACATACCAACATCTTTTGGTGTAAATCCAGCAGTATATGATCCATGAGCACTTTGTTTAATGTGAATTAGTAAGCTCTCTCTTGTGGGTGATAATACTTCTACTACAGGTGTTCCCAAAGATGAATCTGCTTCTATGGTAAACGATGCAACACGATTTACAGATACTTTTTCTAGCCCATCAGTTATCAATACTTTAGCTGTATCACTGACCTAATATTTAAAATAGTATTACAATAATATTTAATATTATTGATATATATACAATAAATCGATCAATTAATTATACAAAACTTACCTGACAACTGAATGGACTTCCAGGTACATCTTCACCATTGAATCTTAAGTCAACAGTATGCACAATTGGTTCTCTAGGAGTAAATGATATCGCATATGTATGAGGACCTTGTGCTTGAGCAGAAGTTGGTACACGTCCTCCATTTACAGTAACTTCTAGATTTCCTGGTCCTGCTTGACTTGTTTCCACTAAAATCAACGATTTTAATTGAACAATAATACAAAATAACAAGAAAAAATTAAATTGCTAAATTTATAATGCATATACCCAAAAATGTAACAGGTGTACCAATAACACCTCGTTTAGCATCCTTTACTTTGATGGCAGTAACATCATATACTTTGCAACTGAAGGGGCTGCCAGCCACTGGAATATTTCTATAATTTACTGCTATTCTGTGTTCTCCTACTACTCTTGGTGTAAATGCCACGGTGCATGTTGTATCTTTGTTGTCAGTGACTTGAGCTGGTACGGCCTGTCCATTGGGCCCTATCAAGTCCGCCGGTTAGTTTTTAATGCAATTTAGTCAGGCAACTACTAAGGTGGATCGCAAGAACACCAGAGATGAAATGTAATATTTGAATTTATCTATTACTCTTACTTGTTAAAGTTATAAATTATACTAAGCCCATTATAAAGCAAAATATATTTAAATGATTATAATGAGTATTAGTTACATGACCTATCATGAGTAATAATAGATGCTATGTATAGTTTCTCTTAGTCTATCTTTGCTTCCTTTTTTTTTCTTTTTTCAGCTTTTAAAATAACAATCATTAAGTTTTACATGCGCATTACTAAAGAAAATTTTAATGCTGTGGATTAATGAGATATTAACAATCTATTAAATAATAATAAAGTTTTGTTTCTATTTAACTTTCTTCTTCGGAAAGCAAAGTTCTTGCATTCATAATAATAAAATTATATCATATTGGCACATTTATTATAGCACTATGTAAATAGATCAGGATCAATGGCTATATAATTTTAGTTACAATATAATTTTTAATAACTAACCATATAAAGGCATAGCACCACAAGAATTAATGGCTTGAACATATTAAATACATGTCCATGAATCTAATAAATGTGAGCATGTGATCAGAATATGTTAGTTACTACGTGCATAGCTATTCACAAGGATAAGTTCACAACTACTGATTTTACAGGATTTTATAATGGTAACTAATAATGCATAAGGAATGTAAAAAGGAGGTGGAAATTGTACTACTCTTACGCAAAGATCTTCAGGAGATTGTAGTTAGGAACCCACCACCATATATTTCATAAAAGTCCAGGTATTAAAGTTAGAGTGAAATTAGTATATCTTTAGAGGTCTAGTAATGTCGTAGTCTGAAAGCTGGCCGACCTGTAACAAACAGAGAATTGCTCTCAAGCCAAAAATTAAGAGAGCACACTAAGACAGATCATTTTCTGTATAATATAACTATACTCTTTGAAAATCTTATTACTTAGATTAGATATAAATAGGACATATAATAATATCAAATAAAAGTGATTCCAGTTGGTTAAAAAAAGGTGGTGTTTTTAAATATACTTGATGGTCAGTAATTCAAGCCTTGTAAACTTTATATTACTTGTTTAGAATATTACATATTTATATTTAAAAAATCAATCACAAGGTGCATAACGTATACTATAATAATACAAGATCTTTGTGTAAAAACGTTGACTTTTGCATAACAGTGATGAACACTTTTTATACTAGAGATATACATGCTGACATAAAGTTAAATTATTAGTGAGGGATGGGAGTAAGGATAATATTGTTTAATAATATAAATTTTACATATACTTTACCTTCAACATTAACTTCTAAATCTTCCAAGCTACCGGCAACGTTACTGACAGTAAGATAGCTTTGCCTTCCTAAACCAGCACTGCTTAATGCCTGTCCACTTACAGTTACATGGCTATCACCACCCACCCTTGTTATTATAGGACAGCCTGGTACAGTTCGTTTGTTGAAGGCTATATTAATGATATGTTCACATGCCTCGAAAGGCACAAAACTGACTGAGAAACGAGCATTGCCTTGAGGCGTAACTTGAGTGGGGATATTTTGACTACGAGCAGATATTGTAATCTCCAAATTTCCTTCACCAGCTTGACTTGCATCAACTATATAATATAATAATAAATAAATATAATATATTTTTTTCTATAGGTTTTATAATATTCAAATGTTTAAGAATTAACTGAAGGAAGTGTCAATACAAATTTTAATTATTTTACTTACCAGTAAAATGTGTTGGTTGTCCAACACTACCTCTTGCAACAGGGCCAATTAATACTTTGTCTGCATTAAATGCTTTGGCTAAAAATGGTGTACCATTTACTGGATGACCATTATATTCAACACTAATTGAATGTACACCTACATCTCTTGGTATAAATTCAGCTGTAAAGCCACTATTTATATCACCAGTAACTTTAACTGGTAATTCCATATTTGGTCCTATAATATATAGAATAAAAAATTATACATAAAAAAAATTGAAAATGTTCCAAAATATTTTATACATTTCTATTATGTGAGTAGAAAAAAGTACAAATATAATATATAACAAACAATAAGCTACTTGCAGTAATTGTGTATATTGACTTTATGTACTATATACTTATTAAGTGACAAGTAATATATGTTACTTTTATCAATAAATTTTATTCCTATTGTATACCTAAATTGTATACCTATAACATAGAAATAAATATATTATATAACTAACCCCTTACGGAAACCGCAAGTTCAGCACTTCCACTTCCATCAACATCCATGTGGAAATTAGCCGGTTGATCTACAGGTATCAATTCTAAATGATTTAAATTTAATGTGACTCTGCTCGTGTCGGACACATTACAAATAAATGGACATCCACGTACAGCTTCTCCATTAAATTTTATATCAATGTAATGTGATTTAGCAATCTCAGGGGTGAAAGATACAAGGCAACGTCCACCGCCCACAACTTGAACATGATTTGGTACTTCTCCTTCATTTATAGATATTTCTAATTGACCTTCACCAGCTGCACTTGCGTCAACTATATAAAGATAAATTAGGAATAAGACTTACTAAATATATTATATGATTTATAAGAATTATTTTTTATACCTCTAAATTGACAGGCATGACCAACAACAGCGCTAGGTACATCAGTGACTTGTATCAAACTGCTGTTATACACCTTGGCAACAAGAGGTCCTGCCGGTAGCTTTTGTCCCGCGATGCTTATTTCTACAAGATGACTTCCGACTTCTGTTGGTGTGAATTCAACACGAAATTCTCCAGTACGACCAGATTCTTCTTCTATTCTTGCAGATATATGTCGTTTTGAAGGTGCTACAATATTTTTGATAATATACATATTACAAAAATATAATAATAGAGGTATATATTTGAAAATATTTAACTTACTTAAAATTTGTACATCAATTTCATTACTACTGAAGCCAAGTGCAGATAATTCAAATGATGCAGGACTACCAGCAGGTACCAATCTGACTGATTCACCAATAACAGACATCTTTGGTGCTGGCATGATTGTCACTCGCCAAGATGATCCTAAGATTTTATCATCATATTATAATTGATGTAAATTATTAGTATAATACTATAATATATATCATAAATGAATTTATTAGGTCAAGATTTCAATACTATTTATATATTACTTAATAATTTTATAAAAAAACTGTATAACATTATGCATTATGTAAAAATTTTTAATTTATAAAATTAATAACAAAACAAGAGGTATTTTGATGGTGATTTGATATTGGTAAATAACCGTTATTATTTTATTTCAGTATTTCTATTAAATATAATTGTAATCTTTAAAATGGTATAAAATCAACTTCCTACCCGCGCAACCCCTTCTTTAGTGTCAAATTCCAATTTCCCGGAAGTGCAACGTAACACCAATAAGGAGATTTCCTAACCTTCCTGTCAAATGCAAGTCTATTTTCTTTTCAATAAAGATAAAGAAAGAAATAAAAAAGAGGATGTAACATCACCAAAGACGGTATTGAATGGTAGTGGGAGAAACGAGTCTGTTTCAAGCGATTGTGAGAAGAAAGAAGAAAGGAAAGAATGCGACCTAACGGACGACGAGTATAAGCACTAAGCTCATTTTGAAATTCATCATTACATTTACCTTGTGACCACCTGTAGCTCGACGAGGGAAATCCTAAAAAGCACTAAAAAGAAAAAGCCCTAAAGAAGAAGAGATTAAAGAAGAAAGGAGAGGGAGAAAAAAAGAAGTTAGAACCAATCTGATTCAGATTGAGTAGAACAGATTAATCTTAAATAAAGAACGACGTAAAACTTTGCATTCAAAACGACACTGCTTTAAGCATCTCACAAACACACTACACGATGCATCAACGTGAGTATATATATACTATATATATATATATAAATATATATATATACATATATATACACTGACGAAGAGGAGACGCGTACGTTTCTTTCGTATAGTTGGCCAAACTTAATTTTGCTTCACTTCTTTTTTATTTTTCAACGATGCTCGACGTCACGGCCAAACGGCAAGCAATCGAAAGGCAAGCTCGCCTCATTGCGAAGAATCTCGTAGGACGACGAACGTGGAACGATCGAGAAAAGCCATATAGACGTACGATGGAACGAAGAGATACGCAGGTGTGTGTAACGGGAAAAAGAGACAGAGAGAATAAGAAACGTCAGCGGATCGCGCGATTCACGACGGACTCAACCGAATCGAACAACGACGGGACGAGCGTTGCTGCTCGCTGTTGAGCTGCTGTATTGCTATTCCCCTGCTTCTTGGCAGACCCGGCACTTGGGCCCAAAACCAGGGCCGTACGCATAATGGTGTTCGTGACGTTTTATGTTAAGCGTTCCAAACTCCCGCCTCTTCTCCCCACCACTACACTTTCTTATCTTCCTTGCATACTTTTAGCGTCGATGAGTATTTACACATGTATTTACAACGGGTATGCAACAACTACAGTTACGCGCTAAATGTAGGATGATGCATTTTAGGGATTCGCCCGAAAATTGATCTTTTATCTTTCAAGACAATTCTTCGCGTTACTTCTCTTTCTACTTTGAAGAAACGAAATATTACGGATTTATTATTTTTAATTATCGTCATATTTATCGTCATTAATTATCGTCATTAATTATCGTCATATGAACTTTTAATCAAATTTATAATATACGTATATTAAAACGATGTCATTATTAAACTGTTTACGTTAATTTTACAGGAATTTTGTGGAATCGGTTACTTCATTCGATTTGTCATATCGAATGAAGTAACCAATTTCAATGTGTGATTGTAATTCATATTACAATGAAAATCGATTATAAATGTTGTTGTTTATTACGAAATCAATTAGCAAAATGACGAAATCTTTTTTGAAACGATTATTACGTATTTACGTATATTATATATATATATATACACACGAAGTTATTTAACGTATTATAATAATATTTGTATTTATTAACATTAGAGTAAAAAAATTCTTAAATAGAAACGAAAAATACTTTGAATAGTATAATATCTTGCATCTGCTTTATAAAGGCGTTGTTTTTGTGCAACGTTCTACAGATAATATATATATTTAATTTTACATACATAAAATAAAATTAATGTTATATAAATGAAAAATGCAAGTGATTAAAATCTTATAGATACGAACGATTTAGTACGGTAATGAACTCTCATTTCATTTCCTTCGTCTATGTATATACATAAAGAAGAGACATACTTACGTATGCACACGCAAAAGACATTCGATATGCGTATTTCGATACTTTAAGGTCGCCCGCAAATAGAAACCCTCGTTCGTGATGCGGATCTTTCGAGAGAAAGAAAGAAAAAAAAAAAAAGAAAAAGAAATGCAGTACTACGAGACAGACATGGGTGATCAATTTCACGAGATCGGCAAAGAATGGAAAGCAAACCGTTATTTTGTATAAGAATGTAAATCGTCGAATTAGCAACGAGATGCTTTTTCGCGACCTGATAATTATTCGACGAGAAATCGTATGAGAAATTCTTACGATCACATTCAATCGATGTAAACAGGTGCTTACGAATGATCAGGTAGTTTGTTGCGGGAATTTTAAATTTACGATTCGCTACGATTGTTTATTCATTATTTATAACCTAGAAAAGTCAATCTCAATTTGGCAAAGGAATTCTTGATCGATTTATTTCTTCTTCGCGTAAGAACAAACCTATATAATTCTTATTACTATAATAATTATTGACTTTTTTCAATTACACTTCTATCGAAGTATCTAAATACAATAAACCACAATCCATTTCCAGATATAACAGATTCTACAAAGAACACAATTCGTTGTTCCAAAAATCTCGAAAATAACTTTACAATTTGATTGATTTCTTTCCAAAGAATTTTGTATTATAAACTTATGCATGGTATTTTTCAATAAACAATTTTCAATTTGTATTTGTCTAACGTAACAATACATTTATTAATAACTACTTCGTTTTAAAGAGAATCAATTGATCCACAATTGAACTTGTTTACGTAAGATATATTTCGTTTCAAGGAGTCATAATTCGAATTACAAAATCTATAACGTAGCTAATCGCGACATCTATGTATCAAAATGTTTAACTTTAAAGCACTAATTACAAGTAAATTAAATAGTGCTAAATGGTGCTAAATATTACAATTTTAACAAGTATCTACGAAATAAGAAATGATAATTGGATTGAAGAAGGAAGAGAATTTGTTTATTTCAATAATCATCAAAACACTATCTAATTGTAAGATTGAATCAGAATAATGACAGAAAGAAATTACAACGAAGTAGAATAAAGAAGAAAGTTAAAGAGAAAGAAAGAGATCAGTGATAAATTCTTTGGTATGGTAATACACACATTCCACATATCACAAGGCTTTAAGAATTATTCTATAGGGTGTCGCGAGAAAAAAGATGTAGGTATTTCTTCCTCAATAAATAATAACTGCCCCATTCATGCTCGCTCTAGCGTAAAAACACTAAATAAAAGAAGGGAAAAGAAAGAAATAAACGTGTACTTTAATTATATGAAGTATAATGATCTATGTCATTAGCACCATTAAAACGAAAGAAGATTTATGCGATTAAGTAACGCTCTGTTTGTAATCATTAGTATCTAAGAAAATTTTTTATTGACATGCATTTCGTATATCTGATAGATTTAAGCAAGGCATTTCAATTTCACATTCCTACTTCATTACCAGAGAAAGAAAAAAAGAGAGGAGGGAGGAAGAAAGAGAGAGAGAGAGAGAGAGAAAGAGACAAGAAAGAAAGAGAAAAAGAGAGAGAGAAGAAAGAAAGAAAAAAAGAAAGAAAGAAGAAAGAGAGAGAGAGAGAGAGAGAGAGAGAGAAAGGGAAAGAGAGGGAGAGAAAGAGAAAGAATATGGTATCTAATCTTTAACATCAAGCTGATGTTTCCAAGGCATTACAAAATGTTATGACGTATTAATATATCGAAGTCATGAGATATACGTAGGTAGAAGTTGAATCCCTTCGTACGCAACCAAATACGCCTATACACTGACAGTACTTTCATAGTTCAACACACCTACGCTTTATAGATATATAATTTGGATTATTTTCAAACATTTCTCAAGACTTCAATAAACTATTACGAGATACCGATCATCTCAGCAAGTATAATGGATAATTGAAATATTTCAAACGAATCCAATAAAAAGTTCTCTCATCTATGTGAAGTTCAACGTCAAAACGTAGCCCTAACATAGAAGACATCTACGTAGCGTAACGAATCACGTACACGTGGTCACCACTGTGGAGAATGCATTTCTTTATATGGCATCTATATAATATTCTTCACAATCTATCTAGTGGCATAACGCATATACTTTAGCGTTCTATTCATGGTCACCGATTTTACCGTTAAAACGCGACATTTCCGTTCATTGCTAGATATAAATGTGAGTTTCCTTTTATAGATGTGATAGATCTTGAAAAGGAACAATTTTAACGTACTCCATCTTTGAGAAGAAGCTTACTCGATCAACCTTTCCTGAGTAGGCACGTATTTGTACGCCTATTATGTGATCAAGGTGCATAATGCGGTGTCTTAAATAGCGTGGGAGATATAGGATCATAATAATCGTCCAGGAAACCCATGGCTGAAGATATTGTCTTATACAAAAAGGAAATGACGTATATGAAATAAAAAAAGAGAAAAAAAAGAAAAAGAAAAAAATACTAAGTAAAGAAAACGATGAACGTATCGTGTATTTGGGTCAGTAGCACAACACTTGAATGCGTGAAATCGTAAGTCAATGACCTGATCGATGACCTGTTGACTTAGAGAGGGTACATTACTTGCGAACGAGAAAGAATCTAAGCAATGTTCACGGAAGTAAACGCATATATACACATATATGTAGTACGTATATACGAATGGAAGCCAACTCCGTAATAAACAGACAGAAGGAACATCTTTATTTCTCGAGAGAGTTGATTCGTAAATAATGATACACTTTAAAATGGATAATAAATCGTTACTAATCGAATTTTTTCCTTCAACAAATATAGACATTTGTTTCGGTCATTGTATATTATAGAGCTATGTACATCAAAATCATTATTCTTGTGCCTGAAGAATGAAGGCAACGGTATAAAGGCAGAGTGAAAGTTTCTCGTGATAATAGAAATGGTAATTTTTAATATTTATAAACTATCGAGTTCCTATTGAGTATCGGCCTTCTTAATAAGATTTTTAAATACCTTTCTAAGTATATATAGTTTAAATAAATACATTATACGAATATTTTTTATGTCTCCATTATAGATTCATGTATAAATTAATAATCGTTATTTTATAATAGAATTTATGCTTGAGAGAATGCAATCGTTAAAATGATAATTCTTCATTATTAAAACATCTTTAATATTGATGAATTTATGGAAGAATTTTAATAATATGTATAAAACTTATATTGCGTTTAATCAAATAATACATGAACGATGCTGATTTTTCCTACTTTTTAATCTGTGATGGTACTGCCAAGTGCCATGCATTCCGTTGAATCGCATACAAGTATGCATGCATGTACGAGGTACATACATATGCATGTATATTCCATAGTTAAATGCAAAATAATTCGTTCAGCTCTCGATTACGAACCTTTTTTTAATGGATAACGTCATGAAAGAAAACGAAGGCGATTGACAATGCTTCATTATTTTCTTTTTTTTTTTCTTTTGTTAGACAAAATTAAAATGATAGTATGAAAACTTACCGGGAACGACTTCGCCATTGAATGTCATTTCAACCAAATGTGTAACAGCTTCATGAGGTACGAATGATGCTAAGAAACGTTGACTACCTAGCGCTCTAACAAAACTCGTAACATGGCCACCGTTTACCAAAATTTCTAAATTTCCAGATCCAGCTCTCGAGCCATCAACTATAACAATATTATACATCTAAGATTGTAGTAAATATAATTAGAGATAGTTGAATAATAATAATACATACTTTCAAATTCAACTGGTTCGTTGACCACTCCATTCGGTATATGACCAACTTGTATAGCTCTTGCATTGTAAGCTTGTGATCTAAAATTCATAAACGTATACAATTAAAAAAATTATAGCGTGTACGAAAATGTTTATATCTAATCTTTACTGAGCTAATGTATCAACCTAAATGGCGATCCTTTGATGTGTTGTCCATTGAGCAAAATTTGTATGATATGTTCTCCGACTTCTTCAGCAGTTATCGTATACGTTAAGCCACGAAGAGTTGATTTCTGAATGGGTATAAGTTTACCATTTGGACCTATAAAATAAACAAGGAAATTTTACCTGATCTATCTAATTTGACGTAATTTGTATTTTATAGACAATGACATTTACCTGTAACATTAACAGAAATTTTATTGGGATCTACACTCGGATCAATAGTGAAGGTTGTTGGTCTATGAACAGGTAATATTTCGATAGCGCTCCCAGTAACGAGTGATGAATTTTTTATTTGCGTTGATACGTAAGTACCATTATTGACATATCGATCATGTGTGGAATCTGCAGTATCGACGCTTTTATAATAATTATTAGTTTTATTTTTTAGAATACCATGAGTTTGCGTACGATTACTTTGAGTTTCGCTGGTAAATTTCTCGGTATTTGTTATAGTTTGTGTTGTATCTTTCGTACTATAAGCATGATAATCATTTTTGTAATCATTACTTGTAGGATCTTGAGTATTTGTCGTATGCTCAGCTATCGGAGAGTTATTAGTGAGATTTGCAAGGGATTCTAGGCTACCATAAGAAAGCAAAGATTTTGTTTTGGCTATGGCGTCCCACGAATCACGACGAGAAGTACCACCCACCATAGACGATACTCTTACGTTACTACTTGTATCGACAACACTATTGTCCATAAAACTTCTTCCATTATAACCGGTTTCTTTATCACTTATTCTTGGACTAAAACTTCTACTGACAGGACTTTGCGTAGCACTACGAAACATAGGACTGCGATTGGGCGAGCGAGATCTATTTAAGGAACCAGTTTGATAAATGTCTCTTGATTCCTTGATGGTCGGTGAATGTTGCGATCCTGGAGACGCTGGGCTTAGATTCGGTGATCGAGATCTAGTTAAAGTGCTGGATGCATAAATGTCTTTTGATTCCTTTATTAAACTCGGAGTCTGAGTTCCTGGTGATCTCGAACGATTATATGTCGTTGATGAATATGTTTCCTTTGTTTCTTTGATCATAGAAGGACTATGAACGTTTCTAGATACAGGACTTTGATTAAGATTCGGAGAACGTGAATGATTTAAAGAATTTGTTTTATGATATGTTGAATTTTCGCTGCTATAATTGTTTGAAGTTTTATATGTTGAAGAATGCTGGTGTACGGGTGAATAATCGGTAACGTGTTGAGTCGGGCTAGCTGATTTGTACGTAGTAGTGGAATAAATCTTTTGAACAGGACTGCCGCGAGTTGGCGTAATGGAAACATTTAATCCATTCATACGTCTTTCAAGAGAGGATACTTTCGATCGTTCTAAACTGGATGTTGATTCTTTTGATCTTCTCGAACCCTTCTGAGTACCAACTCTTATTGAAAATGGAGAACCTCTGACGTCTGATCCATTAAAGTAAACATAAACTCTGTATTTCCCAGCATCAGAGGGAACAAATGAGACATGGTACTGCATATGTCCAATATCTTCCATTCTATAAGAAATAGATTGCTTATCATGTACTATATCTATGATTACATCGCCGAGACCTCCTGTTCCTCTTGCATCAACAATAAAGGAAAATGGTTGACCTGGCATAGCACCATCTGTATCGAGTAACTATAAAAGATAATGACAAGTATTAGATTTATTTATTTGTATACACATAATCTGAAATAGAATGTGTGTCATAAGAATTAAACAATTTACCTTGATTCCATTAGGATCGAACACAAAACAAGTGAATGGACCACCTTGTATATGATTTCCATTATGCGTTATCGCTATACTCCATTCACCTGTTTCATCTGGTTGAAATGTTGCTGTATGTACACCATCATTCTTTTTAACTGGACATGCCAATGGTCTTCCTGTCGGTGACCATGCAGTAACATCGATCCCATCGTGACTAGTTCCTGAAATAAATATTTAGAAATTCGTTATTAGAAAATATAAACCTTCATTTTTTCTTTGATAAACTCACCATAACTATTGACTAGAACCTCGACGATAGATCCAATTGCACAAGGATCCATACCGGGCGATTTGATTTTGGTCAAGGCAGGTAAAACTCTGAAGTAATAGGGACATCCATTGATTAATTCTCCGTCATTATATACCATTAACTATAAAAATAAATTTGTTTAAAATACACTGTCAATAATTCAAATATTTATTTATATAAATGTTCAAATAAAATTCATGTTATACAAACCTTATGCATTCCAACTTCAGTAGGTACAAAAGTTCCTTTTCCATGTACGCCATTCCAAGTTAATCTACATTCGACTCGTCCACTCGGACTTATAACTTCACCTCTAACTTCTCGTGTGTTAACTTCTTTGGTAAGCATCTCCAGTTTGAAATGTGCCTGTGAATATGGTTCAATAATTTTAAACTTTAAACAATATAGAAAGACTTCCATTGTGTCCAATAGAACGAATCATCGAAACAATGGTCTATAACATTACTGAGATTCGTAAAGATTGAAGTAACTTTATGAAAGTATAATTGACAAACAATAACTCAACGTACTGCCTGTTGTACTCTAGCGGATGTACTATCTATATGAACGACAATTTGTTCGCTTGCTTGAGGGCGAGGTTTCACCCATTGAAAATACGCTGCGTACGCCATAACGCCTAAATGTTCGACATTATGATCTGCCATATCTTTTGCTTTCAAAATGGGTTCCACGCCTAGTTTTTTACCACCATCGATACCTTCAAAATATATAAGGGGGAACGTTACAACACGTTATATCGATAAAATAACAATATGATGGACATACCTATTTGCAAATTGTGTTCCCAAGCTGAAGGATCGGTATGAAGTTTTTCGTAAGATGGAGCAGGTCCACCTAAATTTCTAACGATGGCGCACAATGCTCTACCATCGTTCCAATCGGTCTGAGAAAAGTAAATAAATATTTATAAATGTTAAATATATTTTTATTTGATTTATTTATTATTCATAATTATATTTACTCTAAAGTTTCGTATTGGTTCATGAGGTAAACGTGAGTTAACCCATCGTAAAGTGGCATGGAAACCGGGTGATCCTTCTTTCATGAAATACGATAAGTAGGTCATTCCCGAGAGTTCATCTAAATATGGAGACGCAAGGTATTCTGGTTCCAACACCATAGGAATATCAAATTCTCGTTTCGATATTTCCATAGCTTTTTGGCAATTGTAGACGCTATACCACAAGAAACATAATAACACGAATATATGACGTTTGATAAATATGAAATATTATAATTAAAAAGGTCATAAAATGATCATACTTGTCATCAGGATCGAGTTGACGCCAATGTGGGAACAATCCAGGCTTACAATAATCCAATAGTGCACTTAAATATACACCAGAATTCCAATCGGTTGTAAAATTATTTACTCTGCATTCTGGTAAAACAGCCTAAAATAATTATTACATAACATATATAATTATAATAACATATGTTAATGTACAGTGCTAATTCAATGAGTTAATATCTCATTACTTATTATATATATATATATATATATATATATATATATATATATATATATATTATATATATATATATAAAATGAGATTCTCTCACTATAAAATAATATCGTCGAATTGGAGATCAAGGCGTTATATTTTTGTTGTAGATTATACTTGTCTGCATCAAGGTCTTTCATGCAATTACGTATACTGACCTTGAGCCATGCAAGCATCAGCTTCTTTGGAGGGAACTTGGACTTGCCTATTTGGTATCTCACAATAAGCGACCATATCAGGCCGAGAATAAGTTTCAAATTTCCATTGACGATGTCGACATTTCCTGAAAGGAAATTATAATTACACACACACATATATATATATATATATATACATGTATATCTCCGAAAATGATATTAAAAAATGATTTGATATAAAAAAATATACGTCCTACGTATAACATTTTATAATCGTTTATGAATCGAAAGAAATCGTAGAAATAAATTCGCATACATTTAGTAATATGGACTCTTTATATGAATACTTTGAACATTTATTGTTTTCATAAAGTTAATGTTTTAATATTAATATTTTACGTTGATAAAAATTTTTGTATTATTGTCGTATTACGTTTTATAAGGGGATTACAAATTATCGTACAATTATATTTCTAATTACTAATTCATCTTTATAATAAAAGATCGTAATTGTTACGAATGTAATACATAGAAGTACATAAAGTATTTTATAAAATCATGATCCGTCTAATAAATGTAGAAAGGAAAGCAAAGAGAATGGGAAGAATTTCAATATTATTCTATTTTATTCATTTAACCAAGCTTAGAATGAAACTTTCTTTCAAATGTATTGCCTTATCATTGTTACATCTAGAAGAATTAAATTGGTCGGTAACCGTACACGTACAATAATGACGGCTTTAAGCGACCTCGTGGGCGCCGGTACAACACAAGAAAGGCAACGACCTCGAGCATCGATTTGCAAAGGCGTGACGTAACGATACAAGAGACCTGCACTCGTGAAAATGAGGACGGAGTCCCCCATAAATACCACCATAGCAAATCATTTTCGTTCGATCGTTTCGAACATTAAACTTGGTTCTTTATTCATTTGTTCCGTTTTTCTCGATAAGAAAGAAAAAAGATGTAATATGATATAACTTTAAAGTGTTTTTATCAACAATACCGAAGTAACAAAGTAGTAACATCGATTGTATTCCAGTATCGTAACAACAATAAGATTCTTTTGAAAAAAAAAAACAGATAGCTTTTAAAAGACCGATTGTTCTAACAATGATCTGTATATAGTATGCTATTACATATTAACCATAAACGACGATTGACTCACCCGATGATCAAAATGTGAGAACATTTCTTATTTTTTTTATCTTACAATTAGTCATCTAAGTTTCATCGAAAGGAATTCCTTTGATAGATTAATAAAATTATAACGTGTCAATCGCGTAAATCTTCTTTCTTTCGTTTAGCATTACGTCAGTAGTCCATCTTTTTTATTTCGCGATATAAAACAATGAATTGTTTAGAATTCAAAGAAGTATGTATCTCGCAATAAATTCATTAAAGAGAAAGAAAGAAGCGTGTCTGAGAACAGAGGAAGAAGACGTGCTCACGGCCGAGGTCAATACCTCCTAGCGTTACGTGAAATAACGACGACTAATTAGTTAAAAAGCGAGCAGCATGTTGCTTTCTAACATGCTAGGCACGAGCTTTATCTTTCAATCGGTAAACGCAAACAATGATGTATTTGCTTGTCCAGCTCGTAACTATATAGAAAGTTTTCCCAACGAATCGGAAAGAAAAAAATTATTTAAAATTCACGCTAATTTCGAAAAAATAAACGTTACCGATATTGACGAGTTTCACCCCATCCGCCTCGATAGCCTGTAACGCAGTCGAGACATTTTCAAGATGATGATGCTGATTCGCTGGCCTTGGATTCCATCGTGGTAAACGTCTTTTAGTGAGAACCTCAACAAGAGCACAAAGACGTGTACCATCTCTAAAATCTTCGGCGAGGTCCAAAACAGGATCGCTACCTACATCGGCCGCATGCTTCAGGTGCTCGTTCACCCAATTCCTGAATGTATTTGCTTGAATCTCCACCCACAAGTCCTCGTGACCTTTAATTGGCATGCCCTTCGCGGCTGTTCCCTCGGCTGATCGAGCTACCAGGCCCACCAGTTGCTCTGGTCTTAACTGCTCGGTCGACTGCATTCTTATTCCTTCAAGGAGACAATCGAAAAGTTGTCTCGTTATTGACTCTCGATATTTCTATTTATATGAGGCATCATGTTAAATTTAATTCAAATCTTCAATTATTTAATTAAAAATTATTAAAAATATTTATGTAACAAAGTAAATTTATATAAAGTCAAGTTCGATTCAATCTTTTTAATTAAATAAACAAATGTATTAATTTAAAAAGCACGTTTTTAAGAATTAAATTATTTAATATGTGCTTTGTAAAATATGCCTGTGAAAAATTTTTATTCTCTACGTTGAACCATGTTATTAAATTCATAATCAAATAAATAAATTTATATCAATTTAAAAATCATTTTTCAAAAATTTGATTATGTAGTATATGTTTTGTAAAATATATTTGACATTACACAGGATGGGTTAAATGTTTCTAGATAATTCAAAAATTACAAGTCTAAGAATTTTTTGCGTACCCTGTACTTTCTACGATCAGACATATGTCAAATTTAATTCAAAACTTAATTTGGAGAAGTAAATTTATGTAAATTTGAGAAGAATTTTTTATGAATTAAATTATGTAGTATATGCTTTGTGTTAAATATATTTGACATGCCTAGTTAATACTTTCTACCAAATCATCGACGATCATGCGTGACAGGCGTACGCGTTTTTTTTACATCTGCCATGCCTTTCTTTATTTCTTTTTGCATAATCAACATGACAGACAAGATAGATCAAAGTCGAACGATTTTTGTTTTTATTCCTTCGTTTCTATCGTTTTTAATCTCATTCTTCCTTTAACATGCAATAACATTTTCAAAGGAAAGAAAAATTGTTATTATGAAAGAATCGATACGTCGATATCATTACAATGTTGACAAGATAATTTCGATATTAAACACACAGTCTATTGAGAAACACTGATCTAGTTCATCGATTTTTATCATGATACATAACGATTCAAACTTGTAGAACGGCCTATTGATATCCTGACGGTTACTTTTTAAACATACTACGCAGGAGAACGCAGGAAGTCACGATGAAAGGCAACTTCCAGCGACATTTAATGATTCGAGTATAAGAAAAGAACGAGAGAGGAGAGAGAGAGAAAGAGAGAGAGGGAGGGAGAAAAGAGAGAGGGGGGGGAGGAGAGAGAGGGGGAGGAGAGAAAGAGAGAGAGAGAGAGAGAGAGAAAGAGAACTTAACGTAATTCATGAAAATATAGGAGTAAAATTATATGACATTTTAATTGCAATGTGAATATAACTATTTGCTTCGTCTCAAAATGACAAGATGTGACATCATCAATGTAAGCTTGAAACCTCGTTTGCCCGGTACGCTTACGTCAGCATGTAAAAATTGTACCCACATGAGAGTTTAGCACTATAATCGAAAAAAAAGAGACATCAACTTTTTTTTTACTTTTACCGCTCTATGTTTCTGAAGATGATGGAATTTTTGATCGAGAATAGAGATAGGATGGACCGAGCGTGAGAATCTGCATGCACTTTCGCATATTCAGCAACGAATAAAACTATCTTACAATATATTCGACTTTCACCCACGATATCTAATGAAATTTACAATTCGTACGTATTTTTTAGTTATTTTTTTTTTTTGTTCTTTTTTTTTACGATATAGAATTTCTGAAACACAATCGTTTCATTAAAAATGATTGATATAATCTCTGACATGTCGAATACGTAGAAAATTCTTTTGCGAAGAATATATACTACGTAAAACAATCGACGACGAATGACAAAACACAATTGTAATGACTAATGTAACCAAGTACAGAAGAAATACATTAGTCACTTAAATATCTGTATTGTTATTCTTTCGAAGCATCTCAAAGTGTCCTTTGTAAAACGTGTTTATTTTCTAAACAACCGAAAAAAAGATTAAGCATGTGATTCTACCTAACAAATCGAATGGAATGTATTCGAAAAAAACTTATTCATATTACTAATTATAGTAATAACTAGTAATAAAAAATTTGTCAGGAAGCGGTTTCACTATGTACGCTAATTTGTTATGAAAGTTATAATCGGAAAATTGTGGATCACATTAATGACACAATATATTCACACTAAATATAATAAAACTACACAAAACACATAATCAACTACAATTTGTTTCAGATAAATATTCAATATATGTGCATTGGATATGTATATAGGACAATAAGTAACGAAAGGATTTGTAACAAAAAACATTAAAAAAATAAGAGAGATCATTTTTTTACACAATGATACGATATGACTGACACACAAAATCATTGTTATATTATATATTTACGTTAAGTTGATCCTCGAATAGAGATTTCGTTTTTTTATCAAATAGAAAAAGTCGTTATGCGAAGAGGAGACACACGACAACGCCGTAGATTTTCATCGATCATTCACTCGTCAAAAACCCGGCACCGACGAAACGATCTCGTTTCTATTACTTTTATTTGTTTTTTGAGTTGTGATAATCGGTAAGGTTTTAATAGGAATCGATGTTGAATTCGTTGATGGTAGTAAAACGATCGAGAAACGCCATTTTTGGCATCCAGACCGCAACGAACGTCGACGAACGCCTTCGACGTGCGTGAGCTCACTGAAAACCAACGTAAAAAGAACCCCTCACGTCCCTTTACCTTCTTTTGCTAGATAGATACCATCAGCATTCTGGGACCGTGAAACTGACATGAACGTTTCTAGCATATTAGTTGCCCCCTTTTTGGACTATTAATTTCTTATTAAAATATTTCATTAAAAAATGAGAAAATCTTTATAAATTTCCAAAAGAATATAAAATAAAAAAATATATTGTTAATTATGTTGTTAAAGATAAGAATTTTCTTCGTCTAGTTTTTCTATGTTCTAATAAAGATAATAGAAACTTCTGCAAAATCAATAACTGCTTGATTCAGGATAACATTATTATATTGAATTTTATTTCGAATAAAAAAGAAATTAAGATTTTCTTATTTTATTATCTCAAATATCTTATGGTTTTTATATAATAATAAATATTTATGTAAAATAAATGACATTTCAAAATACGTTACTGAAGACAAATATTCAAAGAGGACAAATTATTCCGCAAGGTGGTGGCACCTGTCAGATCACTAATCTTTGGGTTGCATATGCTCAGGCGTTTTGCGTTATAAGAACAGTGCAAATAATATAAGAATAATTTATATATACCATGTTACTTTTCTAAATATAATATATTAATTCAATATTAAAAATAATGAAAGATAGTTATTGGTATAATAATGTTTTATAGTTAATGTATAAAAAGAGATTTTAACGTTCACATAAGAACGAATAATTTTCTGATCAGGCATCGATATCTCCATGTGATTATCAAATCAAAAGTCCACGTAAAATATATGTCATTAAATAATTTAATTTAATATTGTGATAAAATACATATGTAATAGTAACTATATAAAATGGGCTATAGCAATTAAAGATAATAATTTATTTTAGTCAAAATTGGTATATAAATTTAAACAAAATTAACAAATATAATATGATTATCGATGCTAGATAAATTTATTAAGTTTTTTACGAATATATTTTCTGATACTATTTCTCTAATGCATATAAAAAATAAAAATATGATAATTTACAAAATAATAAATATTCAATGCTAAATGTTATTATATAGAGGTAAAATGATATACCGTACAATTTGACATTTATGTCAAACGATTAATCGATTACAAAGAATATGCAATAATCGATTATATATCATGGCGGTGGGTATTTGAAGGTTTCATAACCTCTTTTTAAGGATTGTAGGAAATTTAAGATTGAAAACAAATGTTTTTGATCTGTATTAATGTTTCATTTGCAACGTTATAATAGTTAACTCTAATCTAGAAATATTATAATATAATATTCTCTTTTTCTCTTATACAGAATTTATTTTAAACGTAGCATATATTTATAATATTAAAAAAATATTCATGTAATCTTTATTAAGATCTTTTATATAAGGATGTCTGTAAATATACGGTGTCGATTATGCGGTGTAAAATGTCAGGAATATTTAAATATATCTGATAAAGAAGAAATCTATGTTAAAATATCTTGTTGTTTACAAATTACGGTATGTTTATATTTCAATTTGATTTATGTTTTAACTTATAATCCAATGTTTTTAAGTTTGATATGTATTAAAACAAAAAGATGTTATATTTGTTTAATACAATAATCACTATTTTTTTGTTTATAAATTTCAGATTTCGAAAGAAGATGTTCTTCCTAAAATTATTTGTTGTGCTTGTAGTTCTAATTTAGAATTGTCATACGATTTCTTTACAAAATCTCAGATGGCTCAATTGTTTCTTAATGAACTTTATGGATCAATAACTAATGAAAAACAAACTACCATTGAACATACTGATAATGAAACTCAAAATCTCAAAACAATCACTAAGGAATCTATAGACTGTAACAAGGTGGTAGAAATATTCTATTATCCTATATTTATATTTAATCTTTAATGATTGGAAGATAATGGATATCATATTTATAGAGAGATTTAACCATTAAGGGTTAATATATAAAATTTATAATTTTCATATATTGTACATATAAATATGTGTTTCACAGGAATTATTGATTCATGATGACAAATCTAATGTAAATGAAAAAACTAAGGAACATGACACAAAAGATCAACTGTCTACTTTGCGTAAGATTTATTTTCGTATAATACTAATATGTAATTTATATTACTTCTTGGAATGCTATATGTGTGCTTCATTTTAGACTCTAATCCAAAAAAAAAGAAATGTGAAAAATTAGTGGTAAGGCAAAAAAAAACAGACGAATTAGTACAGATAACAGAAACTCAAGAAGAAAATACTATTATTACTTCTAATATAGAGAAAAATACCAGAGAAAATAAATTAAAAATAAGGAAATTTAATGAAGTTAATAAAGCAACAACAACTTCTACTGATAAATTAACATATACAACTTCTGTGTACAACTTTTGCCTCCCTGATGTAATTCAAGAATATCAATGGACATGTGCAATATGTGAGGATTTTAATGTTAATAACTTTCCGGTTTGTATATTTATTAAAATAGAAAAGAAATTTAAATTGATTCATTAATAATAAAGAAAGTTAAACTAATCAAATTAAATGGATTATTGTAGAAAGTACATTCCAAAAAAAAATTTTTTTTTATGAACTTGTTCTTTTTTTGTAATTTTCTTTTTCTCTCAATTAATTTATTTTTTATGTATTATTTTGTAGGAATTATATCAACATTACAAAGCATTGCATAATCGAGAGCCTTCTTTTAAATGTAATATATGTGATAAAGTCTATGAAGTATATGCAAGCTTTATAAAACATTTAAAACTACATCGGGATTTTAATCAATATAAGTAAATACCAATAATATATTACAAAATTGTATTAAAAAATTAGTTTATATTAATTATTTATAATAATGATTTTAGATGCACTACTTGTAATAAAACATTTTCACAAAAGGGAATATTACTTTCTCATCAGACCGTACATTCCAACGAAAGGCCTCATACATGTTGCAAGTGTGGAAAATCATTTAAGAAATATAGCTCATTACAAACACATAATAAATTACATCTCCCCGATGACATGAAGGAGAAATTTATATGTGAATTTTGTAAAAAGCAGTGAGTATATAAACAGTGTTATGTTTCTAATTTATAAATGTGCGATATTTTATTTGAGTTTTAGAATTATCATTTAAGGAGATATGTAAAAATATTAAATTTTATTATAATATTAGGTTTTCTACTAAACACACCTTAATAATGCACCGTAGACTTCATACTGGAGAACGTAATTTTATGTGTGATATTTGTGGTAAATCTTTTACTACAAAAGGTTCTTTGGTATATCATATCGCAGGTCATGCAGAAGATAAAAATTTTAAATGTAAAGAATGTAATAAGTGTTTTAAAACAGCCAGAGTTTTAAGTAAGAATACAATAGATATAATTTTAATATATATATATACGTATATATATATATATTTCAAGTAATGGAAGATTTACTTTTTTGGAAAATATAATTTTAGATAACCATGTGATATTACATTCTGCAATAAAACCATATCAGTGTGATGTTTGTGGTAAGCAATTTCATGTACGTCGTCGCTTACAAGATCATCATAGAATTCATACAGGAGATATGCCATATAAATGTGAATTTTGTGAGAAATCTTTCCGGTTTTCTGGAATTTTGACAGTAAGTAAAAGAGAGATGAATTTTTTGTAATTAAAATTAAAATACTTATTTTTGTTAGATACATAGGAGACAACATACAGGTGAAAGACCATATATTTGTACAGACTGTTTACGTTCTTTCACTAATTGGTCTAATTACAATAAACACATGAAGCGTATACATCATACTGGTGCTACTAATTCGGAAAAAAATAATAAATACAAGAAAAAGGCAAATGGTATTGAAATTAAAGCAGCTAACACAGAAAGTAATATTAATAAATGAGTTATAAAGATGTTTATTATTTTTGAATTATTATTAACTTTTATCGTTTTTAAAACGATTCTCATTTTATCAATTTCATATTAGCGTAATGTTATTTTCTATTTTCAAGAATAGATTATGGAATTAAAAGAAAAGTATATTAAATTTGTTTTCAAGTTTATTAATAAAAATACATTTGCAATTTATTTACATAAAGATTTTATCGGAAAAAATCATTAAGCGATGCAAAAAACTGATATGCTTTTAAAGAAAAACAAAAAGCAATTTTCGTATTTTAATTTCATAGAATGTTAACATTGTTATTAATATCCAATATTTACTTTGTAAAAAGCTAAATCAAAGATTAGATAATATTTTATTTTATAAAAAATTTGTTGTTTAAGAAAATCATCATTATCCAATGAAAAATAACGCAATAAGTGTAGCTTTATATAATTTTTAAATGGTCTTATTTAATTAAATTGATAGGTAGATGAATTTTTTATATAAAGTAAAAAATGACTTTTGTAGCTACATTACATGAAATCTATTATGAAATTTTTACATCATCATCTAATAACAAGCATATTTATGGAACCAACTACTAATACTGTGTTAGAAATTTTTTATACTATAATATAATATTTTATATTATATTAAACTAATGTTTTTGCGATACTCTTATTTTGATATATCTAACATTTTTTATTCCTGTTTGCAAGAATTGTTTTCTTTATAAATTTGTGTTTGTACAAAACTGTGTATATATAAAAATGTGATGTTTTCTACATCTTGTTATATTATTTTCATTTATCATGAATTCAACATATTGATAAATTCGTTTATAAAACTAATAAAGTAAATTAGATTAAATTAGATTATTTTTCATATCTTTAGTATCCTTCATGTTAAATATCCGAGTGTAAAAGTATACATTACTATTTTATAGTTTATATGACATAATTACATTATCACAAAAAGTGTACTGTACATTGCTTTACATATAATACATACCAATTTATTTATACATATGTTCTATAGAATAATATATTTAATAATTACATTAATTGTGTGAAATTCTATAAAAAGATAGCTTATTGTCATAAATG